CCCCCTCCACCACCACCCATCCTCACCGCCCTTTTCTCTCGTCGTATTTCATTCTCTTTCGTTATATAATATTTTTAAATCATTTTATTTAATATTTGTAATATATTTGTACTTTAAAAAGTAGTGATATCAGAAAAAATCATATCATAAAAATATATATAATAATAATAATAATAGAATCTTATCTTTACGACCGTACAATTGTTAAACAATAACAAGAAAGAAGGAAGCATAAGGTAGGCTCCTACAACATTACCATAAGGTAGGCTCCCACTACATTACGTTACTGATGAGTCCAGTACATGGTGGAAGTATACATGGTGTGCTTAGTTTTGCGTTGTCTCATTCTAAAATCTCCCGACTCTCTCTTTTCTTGTCGCCGAAAAAAATAGGCCTGCCACCACAAAAAATATTCCTAGAATAGTGGGTATTTCGCGCTGTTATGTTGCAAATCACACTAGGAAGCAGCACATGTATACACACAGACACACAATGCATATAAACATTGACATCTCTACTTTAATATCTAATAATTGTAATTAAAGTATGTATATATTCACATGTGCATAATAAGCTAAGCTTATAAACTAAGCTTACATGTGCATTGCAGCATGAATCGGTGTCTTCTTCGACACTAGCTGTATTTCCATTGCCGAATGTAGACTCCAATATTTCAGATAGTTTTAGTAGTTAATTTAATATAAGTAATAGACATTATTAAGAAAAACACTTTACAGATTTTACATAAATTGTCTATATCAATTTTACTCAATGTGCATGTATGCATACGAGTAAAATGTATATTTTTGGAGTCTCAGAAAAAGTAGCAGAAGAAGACAATATTATAATGTTTCAACAAAATCGAAGTAAAAATAAACATTGACATAAATTTGACTTAAAGTAATTAAATATTACTATTATCAACACTTACCATTTAGAGTATTGGATGGAATTACACTTCCTCCTATGTTTTTAAGCCACCCTTCACGCATAATGGCATTATTCGGCAACTTGTGGAAGCTTACTTCCTCCGGAGTACACGTTATGTTGGTGTTCTTACACGCTTTAACAATACACCGCACCATTTTACTTCAAATTTTCACTTTAATTTCAAAATAACAGGCCTGCACGTTTCTTTCAGGAGACGGCTAAAGACAGACTGAGATAGATGCTCCACGGCGCATGCATAAAAGAGACACTACTAGTTCAGTACTGCCAACCTTTCTAAGTTGGCCGCCCTATGTTTTTCGGTGACAACCGCGTTGAAAAGGGGCGTGGTTTACGAGTTCTGAGCACACCATGTATACTTCCACCATGGTCCAGTAGTGGAAGCCGGGACGAAACGCCAACTTGTGATATTCTTCGCAATCTTATTTTTCACAGATTTCAATTATCATTACTTTAATATTAAATTTTAATATATGTCTTTCAACATATTATTAAGATCTAATAAGATGCTATAAGCATCGAAATTTGTTAGATTGATTGTCAATCTAACTAAAAGTGATATTATCGCGGTAGTTATTTAGAGTTGCGTTGTAAGTCTGAAAAAATGTTCGGCACGCGATTGAGAGAACTACATACGCGATATATAAATTCACACATAATGATAATAAGCATCTTGATCTAGCTTTGACCGTGAATAGGCTTTGCTTTGTGCTTCCTTCTTTCTTGTTATTGCTTAATAATAATAATATATTACCATAAAAAGTAACTGATATATTATTATAATTAAACCAGTACAAAGTGAACATACATAAAGTGTATGTAACTTTCGGCCGATTTTCGAATCACCTCCGCCTTCCGCTGTCCCTCTCACCCATATATGTAATACTACCCTAACCGCTCCGCGCGCAGATCAAATGTCGCTCGAGCATCGTGCGGCATTTGGACTGTACACTTTATGTATGTTCACTTTGTACTGGCACCTTTAATTAATAACATATCAGTTACTTTTTATATATTATTATTAGATAGTAATATATTATTATTATAGTTATATATTATTATTAGATAGTAATATATTATTATTAGATAATATGATTATTAAGGATAATCGTTAGAACTCATTGGGAGGCTACCAGAACTCTCAAGAAAACACTGGACTTCCGAAAAAAAATTTTACCACCTGTGGACTTAGAAAAATTCGAAAACTGAAACTTCAAAGTCCTAGAACTTTTTAGATATTGATTTTACAGCATCGGTTGTTAAGGATAATTGTTACCAGAATTCGTGTCGGAACGCCGAATTAAAAAAAAAATTTTTCTTTTTAGAAAAAATATGTAAAAAAATTTTAGAAATCCTGTGTTTTGTTGAAAGTTCTAGTAGCTCCCCAAAGAGTTTTATCGATTGTCCTCTATAGGTCAAGATGCTAAAATGAACAGAATAGAAGGTATAGTCCTTCAAAGTTGTGGAATTGTGAAGTTGTCCCCCTACTTCAAATGATGTTTTCTTTGTTTAAATCAATGGAACTCTTCCTGAATTTGTTATAGAATTTTAGAACTTTTCGGGGGGCAACTAGAACTCTACTTATTTTTACAAAATTTTGAAGATGAGGGGCCAGGTTCACGGAGGTGAGAAATAAATTGCCACATCTGGCAACACTGTCTTCGATACTTCTGTAAGGATTACTCAAGTCAACACTGTGAAATTACACACCTATCAATCCTTACGTTCAGCCAGGAAGTAAGATATAAGGAGACTCCACTCCGTAAAATAAAAGTGGACCCATTTTAGGTTTCGAGTTCAGCTTCCGATTCTGATGAGTGCGAGTAAGAGAAATGATCATTTCTCTTACTCGCACTCATTATGCGCAGCACTACTAAATTCACGAGCGCTGCGAGTGTCGAGAATCGGAAACGGAACTCGAAACCTAAAATGGGTTCATGTCTTGTAGACTGGCGAGACCGAGTGGAGTCTCCTTATATCTTCCTTCATGCGTTCAGCTCAAGGTGTACTTAGCCAAGGCGGCCTAAAGTTGTTAGGAATCCTGAAGTCGAGGACGGACTATGAATATGGCCTCTTAAGTGTTTTTTGAATAGATACGATTCAGACACAGGTTCTTTCAAACTATTGAAACAAATTTTACAATAAACCGCAAAAATAATCATAAAATCTTGATATTTTTTGATTCTACACTCTTTAATTACTTAAATCAATTACCATTCAAATTTTTAACATCTTTTAAATAATGATTTACAAGGATTTTTTTTTAAATTTTCGCATGATAGCCAAAAATACATATTTGCATCTATTCTAAAAACGTTATGACAGAGTACTGCCAAACTACTGTCACATATTCGGTGTCTTTTATAAGGACATTATTATTTACATTATAAATAGCATGCAAATCTGCTTAACCGTATTTATTTAAATTAAAGAGGTCCGATTTGGAACACGGTCCGATTTAGGACATTCTCCCCTATATACACTCTGTTCAACAAAAGAATGACCTCATATAGGACGAAGACTTATCTGTTTCGCACAGATCTCCGCCCATAAAAGCTCCTTTCTTATCAGTGCTGTACTACAACTTTCTAATCCCTTGTACAAGCTGCCGGATGACATCAGATTATTAGATCATTGATATATATGTATTTATTCCATTATTTATTCTAAAAATAACACAATCGAACAGTTTGTTTCGGTGTTTGTTTTTAACCACAGGTCCGAGCATACCTTATTTACATATCTACATGTATGGTACTCAATCATCCCCACTCTGTCTGCTACGCTACCTCCGATGCACAGACCAAGGTCATTTTCTCATTAAAGAGTATAAATTATTTTTATTTTATTTGAAATAAAATTATTTCTTTAATATTTTTATAGTGAAGCATATAGTCATCTCTAAAAATGTTTTTTCAAAACAGCTATTCGTTTATAAATTATGATTTATTTTTGGCTATAATTTGTAAATTTCTATATCTTAAGATATGAGATTAGCATAATTAATTTCTGACACTTTTAATTAACATTTTACATTTGATAGGAATTAATATAGCAAATACAACAAATTGTATATTTTTATGCATATTATGAATATTTATTCAAATGCATTCTAAACAATTGAATATCTTTCATAAATGATTAAAGCATAAATCACTTTTATTCCTATCATCTATGGAAGTGTCTAAATATAAGATCTGTTCTTTGTTTCTGTACTGTCAGAACTAGTGCACACAGTGCAATAAATTAAAATGAAACAAATGTATATTGTTTCACTTTAACTTATTGCACCGTGTGTATTAGTTCAGACAGTGCAGGAACAAAAAAACAGATCCACAGACACTATCTCATTAATCATGCACAATTAGTGATATTTGTAATTCTTGTGATGACCTAAAACAAAGAAAAAACAAAACATTAAATTTACAGTCGCAATAAAAATTAAATTAATTACACGAGTTTTTAAATACTCACGTAGCTTTTTATAATTTATTACATAAAAAAAAATCATAGAAGCGACTGTAACTTGGAAGAAGGGAGCTATGCCAGTTCGTTTAGGTTGTACATACTTATGCTGCCAGCGCCAAAACGCTACAAAATAAACGGAGTAACATTGTGACAAAAGATTTTTATACAAGACATTTGTTTTCTAAATGTCGTGTTAAAATTATGTAACTTTTGCTAAAATGGTTTCTCTCTCGTGTGTAAGTACCTCGTGAGAACAATCCCATAAGTGCCTGTGGGCTTTTTTGACGTCTCGCAAGCCAGCTAGGAATTTCTTTGAGTTTCAAATCCAAGAAAGCAGTGTCAGCTGCATAAAGAAAAAGGTTATTATTACATAATATTATTAATTGTGCTCAAGTAAGAGCATTGATGTTAGAAAAGATGAACGAACTCACGTTTTCCATAATAGCGTGCAGGATCATATAGCCCATGTTTTACAGGATCGTATTCCACAGGATAACCACCAAAGTGCAGTTTATTCTCCATGGAGAAAAATAACAATTTTTATAAATAAATTTCACGATATTATCGAACAAGATACGTATATACCTATGAACATCCAATGCGAGCCATAGCATAAAGAAAGTATAGATTGGGGACTTTCGATCGTAGACAGCGGCCGATGCGTATTAGCCCGGATCCTCATACGGACAACAGCGCTTTGACACCGGACGTTGATTGGTGAAAAACGGATTATGGGGGTAAATTTTACCCTTGCCACCGGTTTTTCACCAATCAGCGTTTGGTGTCAAAGTGCTGTTGCCCGTATGAGGATCCGGGCTTAGGCCTAAAGCGGGGAGCACAGACTTTTGCATAACGCATAAACCATATACATAAAGAATTTGATTGGTCCATTGACTCATGCATAAGAAAATGGACCAATGAAATTCCTTATGCACATGCTT